AATAAGGCTTCAGTTGCCAGTGTTAGGACAAGAGGGGGCATAGATCAACCCAGATAAACCTTATATCTGGATAGCTGGTGTCCCAGAAAAGAACAGAAGGCAGATGGATCCAGGAAAAGGAAGGCCCAGCTACTGTACCTTTCAGCTGAACTATACCCTCTGGCTCTAAAAAGGCCAGACCAATAACTGAGTGAAGAAATTAAGTTAAACCACACCAACACACAAAACTACAGACCCTGACATTTATATTTTCAAGCACATGTACAAAAGGCTCAAACTGGGGTCTGGTAAGAGACAGCAATTTAAATGCATGTGTATGTATTTGGTGGTGGGAACCTGGGTAAGGGCAGGAAGATAAAGAGAAAGGAAAGAAAGATGGTTTTGGGTTCTAGAAAATGTGGTGTATTTTTTCTAAAAATGACATTATTTCCCATTGTAAAACATGAATACTTGAAAAGAAAATTTATGTAACGGGTATACTCTTACCTGTCCCGAGATCAAAGAGTTGATTGGCTTCCAAGTCCGTAAAAGTACTAAAGCAAGTGGGACATTTGAAAGACGCCCGATTAGTGGAATCTCTTTCATCAGTTTCAATCCTCCTCCTCATGTGGTCTAGTTTGTATTTCACCACATTAACCAAAAGACGATAATTTATAAAGTAGTAATTATGACGAGTAGTCTTGCCATCTGCAGCAGTCTCTACTCTCATTCTGCATTTGATGAACTTGTCACCCTTCAAGTTGTTCAGAACTGATCGCAATTGTTTCCTATCAAACTTCAGCAGCTCCAACATGTCTTCCTCTTTCACACAGGGGTTGCGGATCAGGATGTCCAAGGCCAGAGCATGCTCGATGCCATAAAAGCCCCGTACCACATATTTGGCAAGTCTTTTCAAAGATGCTGGAACCTCTGTAAGGACGTCTGGGTCAGTCATTTTATGCAGAATACCAGCACTTTTCATATATCCTGTATTAAGAAGAAAAAAATTAATCCAGGCATAAGGAGAATTTAATTGGTTTAATTTAGGAATAATTAATTGTTGATCTATTTACATATAAAAGAAAGGAAGGTGGTAATTAAACATGTCCAAAGGCATAAAAAATATCTTTCAGCCATCTCAAATTACACTGCTCATAAATAGAATTTGTTAAAAGACCACCATTAAAATAATTGTGGCTCATGCATTAACATCTGCTACAAAGAACAAAATAGAGAAATCCCATGAAGGCCTTGAAGAAAGCCTCTAAATAAAATATATACTTCCATACTTAATATTAAACTAAGTATTACATTTTAAACCAAGTAACTTCAATGCAAATCTGGGTGTAGGAAAAGACAAGGACAAAGAAATGAGAGAGATCAAAGGTTTGATTCCCTTCCCCACCAAATGAAATTAGATAATTTTTATAATGTTTTGATAGAAAATTATTTGCTATTAATGTTGGGTTATTTCTGAATCTGCTGTCTAGAAGCATAATGAATAGAGCACTGGTCTTGTAGTCTGAAAGAGCTGAGTTCAAATCTCGTTTCAGACAATTTACTAGCTGTGTGCTGAGGCCTAAAGTTCCTAATCTGTAATATGGGGATAACAGTACCTACCTCAGGGTTGCTAGAGGATCAAATAAGATAATATATGTAAAGCATTTTGCAAATCTTAAAGCACTACACAGAATATAGCTATTATTGTTAACACATTCAGACTACTAACTTGTTAAAGCCTACAGATCAAAATCTACACCAAACTAGAATAATAAGACTGCTCAATTAACACAACTACAACCTGACCTATTTAAAAAAAAACTACTGATAATTAAAAGTGAAAAATGGAACAAAGAATCAACCCAGATTATCTTCATTTTCTATGAAAGTCCAACTGATGTAAACTATCATGAGGTAAACCAAATGCTGTGACTACAGAAACCAAAAGAGCCTATTAACTTCACTAATCAAATATTTGATTTTCTTGCCAAGTGGAAAGAGATGCTAGCCAAGAGCAAAGCCATTTTAGAATGTCTTAGATGGTGGACCAGGAAAAGTAATACTGTCTTTTAAAAAGTGAGACGCAGTATATAGAAACACAAGTTTATAGAAAACTTGGTAAGAGACCCAAATAAGCACAATTACTTAGAATATTTAAGGATGAAACCAGACTGAGGAAAAATGGAACATACACACTAAAAATTCTTATAACCAACGCTTTTCACCACAAATGGGAGTGGAGCCTGTATATTTGGACTCTTAACATCTCTGTATACACATATGTGTGTGTGTGTGTGTGTGTATGTATGTATGTATGTATGTGTGTATATATACATATATATGTATGTATATATATGTGTGTGTGTATATATATATGTGTGTGTATATATGTGTGTGTATATATATGTGTGTGTATGTATATATATATATTCATATATATATGAATATATATATATATGAATATATATATATATATATATATATATATATATATATATAAAAAACAGTCTCTGGAGGCAACACAATTTTGAGGTCGCTGAGGAATGATAGACTCTTCAAGCATGGAAAAAGGGAAGAATACCAAAGATTGGGGGAAAAAAATTGGAACATATTATCTACAAAAGGCAAATGAGAAAATAAAAACTGAGATCTACTTTTCCACATCTACAAAAATTTTGAGAGCATAATTTACATGTACAAGGAATATAGTGTTTCTTTCTGTATAGCGAACAAATGATACCTTTCTCTCATAAAATTTGAATAAGTTTATGCTTTTAGTATAACCAAAGCTAGTACTCATTCCAACATACCCATGAGCAAAACAGCAAAATAAAACAAGACAATATAAGATAACTAACAGCTAAATCACATGGCATAAACTATAAGTAAATTGGGAGTTTATAGGAAAGGGGGCTCATTGAGTCCTAGAATAATCAAGGAAGGCATTATAGAAGAGCTACAACTTGAGCTAAGCCTTGAATGTTATCGGAGAATACACCTGTATAAGAATTAGAAAATCTCCCCCCTAACTCTTCTCATGAAATCCTGAGGGAAGAAATACAAAATCAATTCCTTTCTGAGAACTTGGCTCATCAACGTGAAAGGGAGTTGGGAGAGGGAGTTAAGAGGGATGGTAGAGGTGGACAGCTACAGTGTTATCTCAATTGCAACAGCATTTTCCAATACATTAACTCCTCACTATCCTCTAAGCACACCATGCTTTTTCACCATATTTACTGCTTTGGCTCGCAAGTTCTCTTCATCCAGAATGTCTATTCACCTCTGTCTAAATTTAGGCCAACTCTTCAAGGCCCAGCTTAAGTGAAAGCCTGTCCTGTCCATTTTTCTCCCCTAGAAGAGTAGTGGCAACACAGATGCATATGAGTAAAATAGATTTTTTTAAAAAGTCAACTGATTCTCAAGCATATTATTTTCATGCCAATGGATTATTAAAAGTTTACCTTATTTCCATTAGTCTCTGTGACAATCCAGGAGGAAATAATGGATACAGCACCAGCTTCAGGGGACCCGAGTTCAAATCTGGTTCAGATACTTACTAGCTGTGTAACTGTTGGCAAGTCACTTAACCTGTTTGCCTCAAAAAAAAATTTTTTTTAATAAAAAAGCTTTATCTAATCTAAAATCTTTCTCATCTAAATTTGTCATCCTATGAAATCCCTCTTTCTCACCAAGCATCTTCCTTTAAAGCAGTTATTTTAATTATGCATCCAGAACCTAGCACTATAGGCAGTAAGGCATGAACCGAACACTGGTGTTCACTTAGAACTTACTCATTTGATGTCATCAAGGGATCCTGGCCTCCTGGCTGTTCCTCCCATGGGGAAACTCCATCTCCCTATTTGGAGTGTTTTCACTGAATGTTTCCTACCCTAGTACTCTCTCCCTCCTCATCTCTGACTCCTAGATTCCCTGGCTTCCTTCAGGTCTCAGCTCACGTCCCTCATTCTGTAAGAAAGAAGCCTCTCTAGGGTCTCGGTTCTTTCCCTGAGATCATTCCCAATTTATCCTATCTAAAATCTCGTTTGTACATAGCTATTTGCACGCTGCCCTCAGATATATAATGAGCTCCTTGAGGGCAGGGAATTTTTTTTTTTTACAAAAGTAAGCCCCTCAGGGCTTAGCATAGTGCCTGGCACATAACAGGTGTTTAATAAATAAAATATCGACCTGTTCTTTCTAATAATTTGTCAGTTTAAGGAGTATTTATTTACGAGGCCCCCACAATGTGCCAGGCACTGTGCTAAGCGCTAGGGATGCTAAGAAAGGCCAAACAACATTCCCTACTCTTGAGATAAGTCTAATCCAACGCTTTGTGGAGCGGAAATCACTAAAACTTTACCTGGTCCAACTTTTTAGAACTACTAAACCAAGACCCCAGCCCCAGGAGGGCTTCTTTTCTTCCTCTCTTTCCACACATAATAGGATCCCCTCCAGCAAGGCCTCGCGGCCCGGCCAAAAGCTAAAGCCCCCAGAACTCAATGACTTCAATGAGACCCCCCAGGCAAGGCACCCTTCTCCTCTGGGAGCCTCAGTTTCCTCGTTTGTTAACTCAGGGAGCTGGGCCAGCGCTTCACACGGTGCCTGGCCCCTAGCAGGCTCTTGATACGTGCTCTTAGCCTCGCCTAGACGAGCCCCGAGGTTCCCTCCCGGCTCTCCCGGCTCGCTTGGGCCCTGAGGCGCCGGGGCACGCAGGTGAGCCCAGGGAGAGAACGGGGCCCGAAAAGGAACGAGCGGCCCAGGGAAGAAATCCGGCGACCAAGACGTACGAGGCACCAGGGAGTGAGGGGAGGAAGGGAAAGCCTGGTGCGGTAGAGAAACCGGGGCTCGAGGAGCCCCACTCACCAAAGACAGGCGGCAGAAGCCGGGAGCCCCACGCTCAGCAGGCGAAGCAGGGGCCGTCCACAACAAAATACATCACCAGCGCGACGCCGGCGCCGCCGAGAGCCCGCCGCGCAGCCCCGCTTCCGCCTCTAGCCCCGCCCCCGAGCCCCAGCCCCGCCCATCCTCTGCCTCGGACCGGCAGTCTCTCCCTCCCAGGAAACACTGCTCGTAAGAATACAACCAACCAATCAATGCTGCAAAAAAAAAAGTCCTATTCCCATTAGCCAATAAAATAGCGGAGAAGGAGGGTAGGGGGCGGTGCCGTGTTCAAACAAGCTCTGTGATTAGCAAGTTCTCTATCAACCTGCGCTAGACCGGGAAGGGCTTGTTATTAACCAGTGGCGGCAAGATGGCGTCGCTAGACCGAGTGAAGGTGCTGGTGTTGGGGGACTCAGGTGAGTGGCCTGGTTTTGTTCTCTGCTGTCGACCATGTCGTGGTTCCCGAAGCTCGCTTCCTTCGTCATGGCTCCTCTTCCCGCCTTTAAGCTTTTCGGCTGGAGTCAGAGGCTCTGTGGGATCGGAAAACTACATTTCCCAGCAGGCCTAGCTAGGGAGATGACTTGTGTGGGCGGGGCTCCCTCTTCCGAGCTCCCAAGCTTTTGGCCAACCCCTAGTTGTGCCTTGCTTCTCCAGGCTTATTGGTTCCTTTCTTCTAAAAGTGGGTAAACACTTATGGAGGTGTTGTTGGGGGAGGGGGTCTGCACTGTTGGAGTTAATAGCTACACCAATGATAGCGTAAAACCATCAAAATACGAAATTCTACTCATAGTTAAGCTTTGCACCGTGCTTAATCCATCAGTCAACGTTTATTAGCCGCCTACTGTGTGCACTGTGCTAAGCGGTGGGGATACAAAAAGAGGCAAAAGACAATCCCTGCCCTCAAGTTGCCTACAATCAATCTAATGAGAGAAACAACATGCAAAAATATATATATATATACAAAGTAAGTTATATACAGGATAAATAATAAATAATTAAAAGGGGAAAGGCACTGGAATTAAAAGAGGTTGGGGAAGGCATCCTCTGTAGGAGTAAGATTTCTATAGGTATTTAAAGGAAGCCAGGGAGGTCAGTAGTTGGAGGGGAGGGGAAAACTTATCACCTCATACCTGAATTTGTGACGGTATGATCCATCTTTGTAGGTTCTGCAAAGCAAACAAACAAAAAACCTTAATTAAGAACTCAGAAACCATTCTTAGCATGCTGTCTAGGGCTAGGCCAACTGGATCTGGCCTGTGAATTGTAGTTTGCAGACCCTGGTGTTGGGAAAGGGAGCTTTGAATTGCAAATTAAATTTCACATCAAATGTATCAATCACCAAAAACACCACTAAAATTCACACTTTACGTTGCCCTGCTGTTTTTTCCCTCTGTCCTATTGACCCAGCAAGACTGTCTTTTAACACCACTTCAATTCACGTGTCCTCCACAGTTTTTTTTTTTAAGTTATGTACCTACCCAAATCAAACACTTAATTCTCTGTTCCATTAATCACCTGACAACACAGTTCCGAACTAGCATGGAAAAAGGCATTACATTGATTGGGCCTGGATTCAAATCCTTATTTCTACCTTTGGCAAGAATCCTGGCCTCAGTTCCTTCATCTGTAAAATGAAGGAGTATTGATAAATGAAGGGAGTCAGTATGATGCAGTGGAAAGAACACATTGGCTTTGCAGTCAAGAGGACCTGCTTTCAAATCCCACTTCGGAAGCTTACTGCCTGTGTGGCTTTGAGCAAGTCTCTCAACTTTCCGAGACTCAGTTTTCCCATCTGTAAGATGACAAGGTTGGACTAGGTGGCTGCTGACGTCTCTACAACCCCTATTGCTGTGACCCTAAGACTCTCGAAGGCCTTTCCAGCTCTAAATCTGTGATCCATCTGGTTTTATAAATTAATTTTTTAAAATATTTTACCAACAAAAAGCTTTCTGCTAACAAAAACTAACTAATTTTAGCTTACCTCTCTCATTCTCTCTTACTCTTCTTAAAGAATAGCTTTTCCATGTTCAAGAGATTCTGGATTTGTATCTATTCAAAGTAAAAACCCAGAAGCCTCTCCTGATGCATCTATTTTTTCTCTAGTTAGCCTGAGGACTTTGAAGGAAATGCATTTAATAAAATAACATAGTAAGAACATTTACAATAGATCATTTCCCCCACCATCCCTCTTTCCCCAGTAAGGCCAACACATATACTCTCCCACTCATATATACATTATCAGTGGAGAGAGAGAAAGAGATCATGTCTGAGGAGCCCACAATATGAGGAATACATACTGGGGGACAACTTACACTTCTGACAGTGCTGGGCTTCTTATGAATTCTGATCACATCCTTCGGTGTTTCTGACTGAGTCGTTGTTGGTTCACTGGGCTTATTGCCTCTACTCCTCCCTGGATGCAGTGTCTCTGCTGGACTCTGTCAGATGCTGTTTGACTTTAGTCTTCACCACCTTCAGCTTCTGGCACAGCCCGTGGATACTGCTGTGCTTTTTGAAGAAAGAGCAGAAACCATGCTATTAGAAAACCTCCCCCATCCTGCTTCTTAAAACCTGAGGCTTATTTTCTCTCAGGCAGGAGATTCTTGGCCCCAGGTGCTAAGCTCAGGAACAATAAACAACATCATCCCAATTAGCAAATGGTTTTAGACTTTTTCCTTATCTTTAACCATCCCCAGCCCTCTTTCTGGTAGTGGGCTGGATATTCTAAGGGACCTCACCCTAGCTTATGGTGATGGTCGAATACACTTCCTCCCTATTCTTCTCTGCAGGCTAGGCTATAAACCGTATTGAAAACCATAAGATCATGGAATTATAGCTTCAGCGCTGGAAGGTCCCTTAGCAGGATATCTTTCCCTGATAATTGTCAGATCTCTCTGAGGTTTGGAGTGCCCCAGTTTTTTAAACTCTGTTTCTCTCTTTTGCCTGTGTGGATGAGTGGATGGACAAAAGGTATAGAAACAGTCTGCACCCAGTGGACAAGTTCATTGTCTGTGCTAAATCACTTATAGTTTGAAAGCCTTACTTATATATATACACATATGTCTATACAGATGCACACACGTAGGATTTCATATGCAAATGTCAACAAAGTCACATGAAAGGCCCACTGGTCTTTAGGGCAAAACCACAAAGTAGATGGTAATGGATCTGTTTAAATGCTATTTCCATTGATAAAACCATATGTATATATGATATTAAACCATTGGAGGGTGCCAAGGACTTCTGTGATTAGAACTTTGTTTTCTGGGGCTTCAGTAGCTGTAGATGCTGAGGTGAGAGTTGCTGCACCTGAAAAGACAGTTGCTAGGGTATGTCTCCTCCAGGGTTAATTCCCTGCATGCTGGCTTTGTGAACCAGGTTGGAAGCAGGGCTGGTGGCCTGGAGGGTGGAGCTGAGGACCCTTCCTGGGCTTCTTAGTATACTAACTCATCAGTGGCAGTGTTGATGATGGTGGGATTAATGGCTTCTTTTCCACAAGGTATGCTTCCTTTGATGATGACTGCAGCAACCTGGCTGGTGTCTGGAGGGCCCTGCTTTCCTGGGACTAGAAGATCTATAATATATAAATAGCTGTGTTGGTAATTGGAGGCGATTTTGCCTTCAACATTAGGGGGCCCCCTTAGCTAGGTTTGATTCACGAGTAAGAACCTGTCAATGGAAAGTGATAGGTCAGAAGTGGTGGCATATGCTTATAATCCTTCCTACCAGGGAGGCAGCTGAGGTTGATAGATCCTTGTGTTCAGAACTGCAGTGGGCTAGGTGGCACAGTGGATAGAGCTCCGGCCCTGAAGTCAGGGGAACCTGAGTTCAAATTTGGCCTCAGACCAAACACTTGACACTTTACTAGCTGTGACCCTGGACAAGTCACTTAACCCTAATTGCCTTTAAAAAAAAATGCAGTGGGCTAAGCCACTTAGTGTCCAGATAAGCCCCGGGAGCCCCCAGGAGGGGGAGGGGCAGCCCACAGATTGGGGAGCTTCTCATCTAAGGAAGGGTGAAGCTAGTGGTTGCTGTACTTGAAGCAAGATTGGGAGGACCATTCTCTCCCCGCCCCAATTGTAAACCCTTCTGAGCCAAGGCTCTGTTGTTCTCTCTTTAGGGGGAACAACCTCAGCACAGTTCCCACTGGCAATGGAAATGCTAGCGACAGAAGACTTCTTAGGCTACCTCGATTACTCTCCTTCTTACAATTTCACTGTCTTTTCTTACATCCCTAAACTGTTGAGGTCACTGTCTTTCCAGAATTTTCAGCGTAGATGAAGCTGTTTTCTTTGTAGCATACTAGTCCTAGGGATAAGTTGCTGCAGTTGAAGCAGAAATCCAGAGGATGAACCTGCCAACTCCACTTTTGCTGTGTTATACAGACAGTTGCTGCCCTGGAACTGTTGGGAGCTAGAAAATTGAGACATACTTAATGTACATCAAAGAAAAGATTTGGGGGGGGTATAAAAAAGGAAAGCAGGGGTACTAAATGTAGATGCTAGTCCCCTCTTCCCTCATTCCCTCCAACCCCCAAGCATCTTCACTGCCCAGATGGTAGAAAGCTATCTCTGGTGCTATAGCTCTCCTGTGACTTCTTGGGGATACCAGCCAATACCTGTGAGCCATTTGGGGAGCTTCCACCTTTCCCTGCTTTGCTCCTTTTTCCTTTGCTGGCCAATCTGAGACTTAGGACCTCTGCTGTCTCAAATTAAGGCACCTGAGCAACATCTCATCTCCAGCTATCCTGAGACTTCCAATGGCTACAAAGAATATGTTTCAATAAACTTTCTCAAGATTTATAAGCTCTATGCTTGTGATCTTTTCTTTCTTCCCTGAATGGCAGTTGTTTTATCACAAAATAATTTATTTAGAATGCATTTGCTGCTAGATGTAGAAAGTAACATGAATTAGTAAATTGGATTAGTTCTTTTCAGTTGGTAATTTTCTGTGAACCCCCAAAGTTATGCTGTTGCATTTCAAAAAAGGAATAGGTTACTAAAACAAGTGGAAAGCCAGAAAGTTGCTTTTGTTAACTGCTAGGTTAACTTGACTCAGTGCTGGGCTAGAGTGGAAAGCTGTAAAGTCCCCAGGGGTATGAGTGACAGATCTTCTTCTGGCCATAGGCGAGAACCAGAGCAGGGTGCTGGTTAGGGTTTCTTCCTATCATAAGGGTATACAGAATAACTGGTAGGAGTATTGGTTTCAAAGTGTGAAGAGAATAAATCTCAAGGTTGATCTTAATTGTAGGGGGGATTAATTGATTGAATAGTCTACCTATGGTATGTATATATGGGACCAATGATATCACAGGTGAATGGGTAGGGTCAATGATGTGTGGGTTGCATGAGCAGGCTGGAGCAGTGATGTCACAGGGTAGGCAAAGCATGAATTTGGAGGGTCCTGGGTGGTACTTAGGATTTTAACAGGTAATATAGTGCCTTCCTATTAACCGACTTTGTGACACTCAGTACTCTGAAGTCATTAAAAGCTCTGTATAGTTTCCCAAATGCAATCCAGCCCAATTTCTTTCTATTTATTTTTGGGCCAAATCCACTATCTTATTTGTAGTACTAGAAATGTGCTAGTATGTGATATGTCCATCAGTACATAATTCAATAGTCTGCCTGGCCAGCAACATGTCATTGGGCAACATATGTCTTTTTATCCACTTTAGCTTTCCTGTGTAGATTGGACTTTGTCCTATGGCAATGTTTGGACAGCCTCCCCATCAATTCAGAATAATTTAGTTTGGAAATTGTACAAGATATCTATGACGTTACCTTGCTATACTTAATGCTCACACTAACCAGAAAGTTGAAAAAAGTATCCCCATTGTCTCTGTCATTTTGCCAAGACCCCTCAAGACTTAATTTTATTTTGAATCAATTTTTTAAACAAAATCAGTAAGCATCTTTTTTTCCTCCATAATATTTTGGAAATGATTTTGTTTTCTAAACCAGTGTTGCCCTTGGCTGTCATATTTCTCTTGTTGGCAAAATTGTTTCCTGGCTGAAACATTTGCTAGATTCTGCCGACTTGTTTTGGCTACTGTTTTTACATAGGCAAAACATTTTCTACATATGATGATAATTCTGTACCTCTAAATAGTTGTGTTTTGTTGGCTTATGGTGAGTGTAAGTAGCAGTTGTTTCTGTTCAGGCCAGAAACTCTTGAGGGTCTTCACCTCCCAGATTGATTTCTTATTTTAGAGTAGTAAAAGATGCCATTTTTTGCCTCATTTCTTATCTAGCCTTTGTCACTGAATGGGTGTTGCCTCAGACAAAGTGAGACCTGGGAAAGACCTTAGCTTAAAAAGGCCAAGATTTCCCACTTCGTCTGGGGCCATCTCCAGTCATCCTGATGTATATTTTGCCACTAGACCCAAATTTCTCTGGAGGAAAAGGTGAGGCTGATGACTTTGCACAACCCTGCCTCACTTAAATTCAGTTCGCTTGCAAGTCGAGATATCACCCTCCAGATGTTTTTGGTCCTCTTCAAGAAGGAAGCACAAACAGCAAACAAAAGTTGTATACCCTCAGATTCCTCATCTGTAAAACCCAATCCTCAGGGTACCCTGCTAGGTGGCAAAGTGGATACAGCACCAGTCTTGGGGTCAGGAGAACCTGAGTTCACATCTGCTGTCAGACACTTACTAGATATGTGACCCTGAGTGAGTCACTGAACCGAAATTGGCTCCAAAACAAAACCTAATCCACAGAGTTGTCAGGATCAAAAGGAATAAAATAAGTAAAGTGCTTCACAAATCTTAAAGGGCTAAATAAATGCTAGCCATCTTAAAAATTCTCCCTTCTACACTTAGTGATCTGTTTAGCTCACATGGAGTCAGTTATCTCTCTGCAGATGACTTCCAAATCTAGCCCTTGTCCCTCACCTGACCTCTAATCCTCCATCACCAACTGCTTGCTAGATATCTCCTGAATGCCTAACAGATATTTCAAATTCAGAACATTTAAAAGAGAACTCATTCTCTCTCCCCCCCAACCCACTTTTTTAAACTTCCCTATTTCTTTGGATGGCATTACCATCTTCCCATTTGCCCAGGTTTGGCATCTCGTAGTTATCCTCAACTCTTCAATACATCTATCAATAAGCATTTATTTAGCACTTACTGTTAGGCACTGTGTTAAGGGTTGAAGTAGATACTGATACCTGCCTCCAGGGTGCTTACATTGTAATTAGGGACACAACACCTAAGTGTCTGAGGCCAGATCTGAACTCAGATCTTCCTGACTCCAGTCCCAGTGCTCTATCCAGTGTACCACCTAGCTGCCCTGTGTGTGTGTGTCTGTGTGTTTGTCTGTCTGTGTCGTTTTGGGAGGGAGTGCATTAGCAGCTGAGGTCATCAGGAAAGGCTTCATGTACAAGGTGGTATCTGAACTGAGTCGATGGAAACCAAAGATTCCAAGAAGTTGGGGGGAAGGATTGCCTTTCACAGAGATCAATGAGATGGAGAATCATTTGTATGGAACAAGAA